GGTTCATGAAGTTTAACCATGACAAGTGCAAGGTCCTACACCTGGGGGGCAGCAATCCCAGACACAGCTGCAGGTTGGCCAGAGAAGAGATTCAGAGCAGCCCTGTGGAGAAGGACTTGGGAGTGTTGGTTGATGAGAAAATGAACATGAGCCGGCAGTGTGCACTTGCGGCCCACAAAGCCAACCGTATCCTGGGCTGCATCAAAAGGAGTGTGACCAGAAGGTCAAAGGAGGTGATCCTGCCCCTCTACTCTGCTCTCGTGAGACCTCACCTGGAGTATTGTGTGCAGTTCTGGTGTCCTCAACATCAAAAGGACATGGAACTGTTGGAACAAGTCCAGAGAAGGGCCACGAGGATGATCAGGGGACTGGAGCACCTCCTGTATGAAGACAGGCTGAGAAAGTTGGGGCTGTTCAGCCTGGAGAAGAGAAGGCTGAGGGGAGACCTGATAGCAGCCTTCCAGTATCTGAAGGGGGCCTATAGGGATGCTGGGGATGGGCTTTTCATTAGAGACTGTAGTGATAGGACAAGGGGTAATGGGTTCAAACTTAGACAGAGGAAGTTTAGATTGGATACAAGGAAGAAGTTCTTTACTGTAAGCGTGGTGAGGCAGTGGAATGGGCTGCCCAAAGAAGTTGTGAATACTCCATCGCTGGTGGTTTTCAAGGCCAGGTTGGACAGAGCCTTGTGTGATATGGTTTAGTGTGAGGTGTCCCTGCCAATGCAGAGGGGTTGGAACCAGATGATCTTAAGGTCCTTTCCAACCCTAACTATTCTATGATTCTATAAGACAAAAAATATTATCAACTTCAAAAGCAGTAGGCTTGACCTCTTGGAAGTGATTCAGTCTTTACATAACTTCATTAGATTAGCATCCATATTTCCTACAGAATCACAGGCAGAGCCTGAAAGGATCCTCTTTTCTTACTGGAATAAAAGAGAAAACAGTACTTGGCACCTCTCAGTGTCTTCCAAAGTTTTATCTGGTTAATTACATTTCCTACATATGTTTTTTTACTGTCCACATTTTAAAATGTGTTTTTTAAGATATATTTCAAATTAATTTCCCGCTTTAATAATTTTTCTTTCCTTTGCATAACATGCTGCCTTTTTCTAAACAGCAGTTGCACTTACTTTATATCCAGGAGCTTTGCTTGATTGACATGTATTAATACACATATTTCTTTTTTTTGTTACCCTCCCCAATCAAGTGACTGTTCTCTAAACCGGCATTTGAGTGGTCCCTCTCATAGATCTCAAACTTTTCTAAAACAAGTGTTCTCAGTATTCATGTAACCTTGAGCAAGGCTTGAAAATGGCTTCAACAAACTTGACATGACATTTAAAGTTTTTGTTATTCTCTGAAAGATGTTCCATCATCCCAATAGTAATGACTTTGGAGCACAGGCAGTCACTCATGACAGTGTGTTTTATGTGAGTGCTGAAAATTCCTACTGAAAACAGCTTGTACATTAAAAGGCAGCTGCTGAAGATATTTACTGCACTGTCATTCCCTGACCAGGGGCTCTCAGTGATGGATGAGGATTTTACACACTTTCTTGGACAATCTCAGCAAATTTTGTAAGTGCGATCACCTTTTGGCAAGTGGAGGAAAATAAATACCTTCTTTCTATCATCTTCTAAATCGGATAAACAATTCTTAATTAAAATTTGATAAAAGCCGAATTTTGTACTTGGCTGAAAAATTTAATTTCTATTTTACACTATGGAAAATAATTTGACGCTGAAGATGCAGCAGCACACATTTCAGTTCTCCTGCATCACAGGAGGCCAAAGACTGTTTATGAACATACCTTTCTAATTACAGGTAATAAACCCAGCATATATAATTAAAAATCCCTGGTATGTAAACTCTTGATTAGCCCATTTGACTTAAATGTTTATATTTATTGAAGCTGAACACATATTTGTGTGTTGATAAAAGAATGGTACCTGTATCAATATATAAAATACTAGTTGCATCATAGCCTTTTTTGCTTATACTCAATCTAGGGGAAGCAGGAAAAACATGTGGTATACTCTTAAACAGCCTGTACTGCTCCACACACTGATTCAAAATGTGCATGCACTGGTGATTTGGTACCCTATCCCATTCCACCGTCATGACTCTGGATTGTTACCACACCTCCTTCAAATCTTATGTTATAGCAGTAAAATCAAAGAAAGAATTGCATTTTCAACCTATAGTTGTTGAGGTGGGTGCTTTAAAGAAGCCAATGCACTTTGCATATGAACTTAAAACTACCAGGATGGAAGCTGCTGCGGGTTAGCATGTAACTTTAATCACAACAATAGAAAAGCTGCACTTAGTTCAGCATGATAAAGGCTATAAAGCATATAGTTATTTACTTTCAAGAAAAGCCCCAAGTTGAGATTAACTGACAAAGTAAGCACAAGAATAAACAGCCAATAATATGTTCCTATTAGAAAATAAAACCTTTTAAACCATCAGAGCAATAAAGGTTTGGAATGCACATACGTAGAAGTGAGAACAAAAAATTCTAATCAGTTATAAGTAGGAATTTGATCTATTTCTGAAGACAATATTTGATATGGCTTCCTGCCACAGCAAGGAGATGGCTTATTGACATTGGCCACCATTTTAATTCTACATTTCTAGAACAAAAGTTCCCACAGACAATCCAGAAATCATATAAATATCAACAGACTTTTCCTAAACTACTTCAAAACATTACAGCATAGACATACACAAGTTTGGTTTGTGCTTTTGGCAGGAAACTATATTTGAAACAAATTGTGGAGTAAAATAAATACATTCACACACACACCTTGGTTCAAACACACTTTTAAAGAGCAGAATATATTAAAGTTATAGGTTAAAGGGAAAAGGGAAGGTTAAAAGGAAACTACTCATGGAAAGGCACTTCTACATGAAGTCTGGTTATGAAGAAAGCTTACATTTCTGGAGATGCACTATTTGTCCACCTACTGTAGCAATGTGTACCTTTCAGCAGTAGCAAGACAAAAAGAAGCCAGACATTAAAAATTAGTGGAAAAAGACAGAACTTATTAACTTGTTATATATATTGGAAGTAGTTAAGACAATTTTCTAATGTTTGGTCATCAAAACCTGCCATGGACATGTACCATAACAAGCACTAGGCAGATAAAAAAAAAGAAAATTTAATTCATGTTCAAGTTTTCTAAATGCTGGAGTGAGAAGACATTTACCCATAATAGTTTTGACTTAAATAGTTTTGACTTTGATATTGAATTCTTCCAGGCACAGGTTACGCAGAGATCACACTGTATACTCTAAAGTCTCCATATCTAGATTCTGTGACATTTAAATCTTTTTATTTCCCTTGTTCAATATCTAACACTTGTGCGTCCTTCTGACCTATTAAAATTCTTTTTTTTTCAGATATGACTTTCCTGAATGATGCTGTTAATCAAAAACATTTCAAAATCATATTCACATAACCTAGAGCCAAATAGCTGCTATCATCTAGATACAAGTCTTGAAATTACTTTGATTAACAGCAATACTCAGGAAACTCAGTTGAGAGAAAATTGTGCTTAATAGGTTTCCATAGTTTAAATGGTGTCCTAGCATAGAATAACTTATAACGATATGCTTATACTCTATTAAAGGCTGCACACTTTATATTCAGAAAAACAAAATTGTGCACTAGCATGTGAACAAAGAAAAATCAATAGTATAAGACCTGACTGCTGTGAACTTGGGCAAGCATAATATGATCAGTTGGAGATTTTTAAAACCTGCAAAACACTGTTATATACTACCTTTAATAGAGAACAGAAATGACTGCAAGAGGCTCACTTGAGATATGGACTTTTTAAAAACAACAAATAAATATTTAAAATAAAAAGAACTTTGAAAAGCTTTATTTCATTGCACAGTTTCTCAAAGTCTAGATACTGAGGACATATTTAGGTTTTATGTAAATACTTGTACACTGATTGAAAAAAAAACCTTGCAAATACAATAGAGAGAACAGCATTACATGGCATTACATGCTTGTGTTACATTCATGTATCTCAATGTGGGTCATGACAAAGCCATAACATAAGAAATAACAATTGTAGTTACAACCTCATTAAACCTTTTACCAGGTTAACAGAGAAAAATGCTCAAACCCCCAGTGGAATACTTCCTATCTCTCTGGCTTACGCTCCACATGCTACACCATATTCCTGACTTTTTGTCTCCGTTTCCCTGTCCCTGATGCGTTGAACTGAAAGTCAGGGAAAAGCTACACCAAAACACTGCTGCTACACTCATGTGTTTTCCCAGTAGGGAAACACATTTTCCTCATCATGGGAAAAGAGCATGTGTTTTTGACAGCAGGTTTTTTTTACAGTACTTTTGTTTCACACTGTCCAAATCAGTAGTTGTATGGACAGTATATATAGGTAATAAATTAATTTTCCCCAAGGCGAAACAGTTTTGCCTGTGACAGTAACTGGTAAGTGATCTTCCTGTATTTACTTTGACTTGTGAGCTTTCCTGCTCCTGTTCTTCCTATTCTGCTCCCTGTCCAATCCCACCAAAAGAGGGACTGAATGAGCACCTGAGTGGGAGCTGGTCTGATGCCTGAGACCCAACCTGTTAGAGAGGGTGAAGTTTTTACAATAAAATAATCATATAAAATAGTAAAATGATTATATTTGAGAAATTTATAAATCAATAGTGAGGCTTTGTATATTAGAAGATGTTGTAACTTTGCCGTTTGGTATCATAGTTACTCTGTAACTACATGATACAATGGTAGTCTTGGTAGCAAGAGCTAACATAACTGTATATGGTGAGGGGAGTATGGGTGTATGTATTGTAAAACTCTACCCAAGCAGAACCTAAGTTTAAGATAGCCAAAAAGGGCATACCGGAAGCATCCTGGTGAAGATAAGAGAATGCTAACATCCACAAGACAATTGGGACCTAGCCAAGTAGAGAAAAGGTGAAGAGGACAACCTGAGGAAGACTTCATCTGAGGAAGACTCCTTACTTCATCAGGGCGACCACCAGAGGGGGCTGCGCAAGCGCAGAAGAGGCTGATGTCATAATAGATTGATGTAGCAATCTTTGATGCATATGTATTAGTCAATGATGTAATCTGTGTTGAATATGTATTAGTTACGAAATTTTAGTGTATAAATTGCAAACGTGATGTGACGGGAATCGGAACTAGATTTGGGTGCGTACCCCTGGTTCTCGGCGCCTCAATAAAGCACCTCATATAACCATCCCGGTGGTTATGTGTTTGTCTCGATGCTAACAAACCCACCACAATAGCTTAGAGATAAGATGATTACATCTGTCTTTTAGCATTCCTTATTTTAAATTTTCCAATTTAAAACCCTCACAAATTCTGAAAATTGTGATTTTGGATTTCCAGATTCCAAACTCTTGGCTTTTTACTATCAGAAGCACCAACAAGGATTAATTCTTGGTTTTCTCTCAAGTATGAAATGAGGGTCTTGTTTTCTGCACTGACACCCTCTCTCCCATTCCACTTACTCTAAGATGCTGGACAGTTGCAAGCCCTGTTTTTTTTTCAAGCACCCATGTTTCCTCAATGTCATTTATACAGCCCAAAATTGGACTTTTGAAATCCATTCCCAGACCTTGGCATTGGTGTTAGAATATAACAAGACCTTTCTTAAAAGTCTGCCTTATCACCCAGAAGCAGAATTTAGACATAATAAGATTGCTATAGCTAGAGGATCCATGTCTATTACATAATGCCATTAATAAAAAATGGGATAGGTCCTTGCTGGACACTATAATGGAAAATACTTTAAATACTTTCTATTGCCACTTTTTATTAGTTTCATATTTTTTCAACAATTTCTAGGACTGACAAGGGTAGGATTGAAGAATATCCCTGAAATGTTAAAGGAGTGCTGTGTATTGTTATGACTTATTTTAGTTATGCCCTGCAGCCCCAGCCCTAACATGGAGGAATGGCACCTGTACTTGAATGAACCTTGCTTGAAAAGTAATTTCTTACATCTTAGCATGCCATGCTAGATGTTTACAACTTGACTAATCTAAAGCAGACAATAATGAGGCATGGAAAAGTGTTACTGATTTTCAGGACATTTAGAAAATATTTTTTATGCACATTTTATTGAAAAGTTGCTGCTGTTCTTGAGTATTATTTAAAAAGACGTGAAACACAAGGAATAAACACTAACCAGTAAGTCCAGTTTAGATGAGACAAAGTTTTCAGATACAGTGAATATAGGTTTGTTTGTTCATTTCAAAGGCAAGAGTAGAGTATGTCAGCACTAAAGTGAGGCTAGCACAGAGAATCTATAGAAACTAAATTTCAAAGAAAATCAATTAAAAACTGTGAGCAAACCAATCTGTGACAAGAAGAACTATGCTGGACCAGCTCCCCTTTAATCGGCCTTAAAGCAAAGTCTTTAAAAACTCTCTTAATCCCTTCCCTTCCTGCATCTTCTCAAAGACTACTTTAAGTTCCTGTTGATCAGTCCATTCAATCTTTTTCCTATCTTTTCCAAATGTACTTTGCATTTGCATTGAGCTGGGACCAATTTCTCTGTTTAATATATCCTCACTTCTAATACAGTAATGACTTCTGTTACAAGAAATACAACTTGAAGTTACTGAGATTTAAATTTACCTTTAAAGTCTTGAGTGCCTGTCAAGATAAAAAGGGAACAGAAGCAATGACAGAAATCACCCAAGGTTTTTATGTAAGTGAGAGAAGAAACTTCTGAAGGTGTCTGACATCTAATTCAGATTTAGGAGTTTGTTATCCTCCCTATTTCACTCTGATTACAGTGGATCTTCCGTGTCTTCTCATGCATCTTTTCCAAAATGAAAGCACATTGGGGAGTTTCTAGGAAACTGCAAAATGGGAACTTCCAAAATACAAACCTATTTTGTGGTCATTATTTATTTTTCTATTTGAATCATTCTCGTAAAACGTGGAATTTATGTGCAAGTCTCAATTTCAAAATGGGTAAATATTCTGGCATAATTTTATTATTAATAAATAATAAAATGAGCTTCTTATTTATGTTGGGATGAAGGGGGTAAAAAGAGAAATACTGATCTACATGGTTACCCAGTGGCAGTGGGTCTTCAGGAAGTGGCCAGAAATATTGTGCAGCCCAGGTGTTCATGGGATTTCTCCCAAAGTACAAGTAGAATAAACATCAGCTTTTTTCTCTTCTTTAAGTCAGGAAATGATCAAAAAATTACAAGAAACTGGAAGTCAACATATTTAGACACACTGAAATTCCTGAAATGTGGCTTATGACTTTTTTACTTTGTTCACAAGTATACTGTAGCTTACCATTCCAAATCCTCTTTAGAGTTAAAAGAGAGTAAAAAATGATGACTGTATAAGTTAGTGATCTGTGACAAGATACATAGAGGTCCATAGTCTAAAGCTGACAATAATTTATGTAGATCCCATACACTAAACTGCCACTGATGCCTTTGAGCAGTAGACAAGTTTAGTCTCTAAACCTGTCTGCATAGCATCTACCTATAGGTGAATACTGCTTTCAAGGTAAACTTTGATAAAGAATTTTAGGGATATGCATAAAGACTGCTGCCATCAAAGGAAAGCTACTGGCAGCTGCAGTGGATACTGATAAGTAGTATGCTGATGAAGACAACCAAAATGGAAAGGAAACACATAATTTGTGTCTTCCTTTACCGTTTGTTGCTGGAAAAATCCCACAGTAGGAAGCCTCCTACCTCTGGAAAATAAAAATCCCAACAAGTCCAATCAACAAAGCAAGCCTTAAAGACTGACCTGGTATTTACAAGATTCCACTCACTGCAGTTCTAAGTAACATGGTTGTTTCTGTTTTGTATTTACTATTTAGCATGATCAGTTAAAAAAACCCTCTATAACTATTTCTTGTAATTGCTTTAAGAGTTTTAAAACCATACTATTTCTTATCCAGTATTATTGATACAAGCTATCTGCTAGCTATTCTAATAACTGCTACAAACCTATACAATTTGTATTTCCTATTTTTAGCCCAAACTTCCTTTCCCAGGTTTATATAAGCAAGAGTATTAGTAGGTTGCATTGCCTGAAGGTACGGCACGAATATCTTGTAATAACAGATCAAACCAATTGTTTTTCCCTCATCACCTGTTGCAATTCTCTCCTGCAAATATTTTTGGGAGAGAAATCCATTTACAGAATCCTGCAAACATTTCTGGGAGCAGCATAAAGATGAAAGGCTAGAACTGAAAGCAAATCAGATGAGCCTTAGTTTTAGCAGTTGAGTAGAAACGTAATTTTCTCGTATTCCTGTAACAGGTACCAGACCAAAGTCCTGGGGCAGTTCTTGCCCATACAGGTCACGGTCACAGTGGGTTGTTGCTCACTATTATCCAGAAGACTGCACAAATAGCACGTTGCTCTCAGTTCCTCTCATTTTAAAACTTTTTAAAATAAGTCTCGGAAGGGAAGAGGGACAACAGAGAGTGCTGCATGCCGTTAATGATATGTCAGGTGAAAGTCTACAGATTTACTGACCTGGAAAAGGATTTATGAGAACTCCAAATCCTAAGTAGATTGAGAAAAGATTTACACAACAATGATGTCAGTTTAAAGATATCTGTGCGTGTTTGTAACATGGGTGCTTCTCAACAGGATAGGGGCAGACCTGATTGTGAAGTTTAACCCATGTAAACTAACATCCTAGATCGCCTTAATGAATACATTGGAGATAGAATGAAACTAAATCATCTTAGTTCATGAAACTTTCATTGTTTAAACATTATTATTATTATTATTATTATTATTATTATTATTATTATGGCCCTTTCTTTCCTCTGACAAAACTCTACAGAAAACAAAAGCATGCTGTCAAGGAGACTGAAACTGCGCAGCAGGAAACAGTAAATTTTCAAGAAGATCTTCACACAAAACCAAATATTGGGGAATAAAGGCAGAGGAAAAGTGATTCAACTTCCCCTTGCTCTGCAAGATTGCATATGCACTCCTTTGACAATTTTTCTCTCTCTCTTTATATGAAGCTCTCAATGTTTTCACTTAATTATTTCCTCTCTTTGGGATGGACTCTAATTGGGCCTTGCTCATGTGTGGAGAGGTAGGATACAAAAAGAAATGTGTCTACTCCACAGATGATCCAGCCGTGCTTATATTTGACACCAAAAACTGTACTTTGCAAGTGTGACAAATTGCTTTGAAAAGGGATCAAAATTCCAACACAGTCTAAAAAAGGAATTATTTTTTAAAGATGGCTTTTACTGACTCTTCCAAACATCACTGAATTATCATATGAGACAAATCCGAGACACATTGTCATGGGTAATTAATCCAGTCATTGTGAATTCAAAATGCTGTTTTTAACATCATCATCACATGAAAAATGCGTACCATTAATGAACATATTTACTACCCTACATTCTAACAGTGTGACTCTTAGCAGCCACTTTAGTATGTAAAAAACCCCATCAGAAGCCAACTGTAGCATTTCCAGTTTCCTCTTTTCCTGATCAATTGCGTGCATTTTCTGTTTAGCAAACACCAGCTAACAGAATTTAATCTTCCTATCAGAGGATATTTTTTTTTTTAAATTTCAAGAAATCTAAGACACAAAACAACTTTGTGCTTACAGAGGAAACCTCTACCTCACTTACGAAGGAACTTAGAGGGAAAATTTCACGTAGAATATGAAAAAATGAGACAGTCTGAAAAACCAAATCCTTTACAATCACTAAGAAATCAAGGCAGAAGGCAGCAAGACCTCCCAAGCCACTGACACAAAGGATTCTTACATATAGTCTTGGTTTTCCTTTGTCTGTTATGACTTACAAAGCAGCCTTGCAAAAATGTTTAGCTCAAAAGGTGATATTAAAAACAAACGGTTAGAGATCATCATGGTATATTAATTATGCAAAAGAAGCCAAACTGAATTTAATCAGAAACAGCAGACTCCAAACAGGAAAAATCTTCTCTCTTTTTATGACAGAGACGGTTAAGAAAACATTTATGGTAATGCCAGAGCATCTGCTGATTAGTCAAAGCTGCAGGATGCCAACATTAAATCACTGGACCATCTTGACAGCTTCTGGGTACTCTAGTTTCATTCTAATAACAATTTGCTGTGAAATGTACCCAAATCTGAATATTAGCCAGAAAATGTTTACAAAGAATATAGGTAAGGGCAAAGAAATCAGACACAAAATTGATTTGTGTCTGAAAAAAAACCCAACCTAAAATAGATATTTGTCACTCAGACATTTCAGAGCTGCATGCAAATTGGTAAATCTCTAGAAAAGACTAAGCACTTTAAGTACAGAATATAATTTTACCTATTGATGGTGACCTATCACTTTTTTTTCTTGCTTAGAACTGTTACATGCTTGTTTGTTTAATACAAATACAGATTAGCCATTTGAAGAAGGCCTGCACCATTTAAAATCAATTTTTAATTCCGGACACCTGAGGATTCTACACAGAACAATATACTTCATTGTAAAGCTTTAATTAATGCATCTATGTGCTGCAGAGGGTGATTACTTGAATAGTAAGTATAAGAGTCGTGTGATCTGGTTGCTAAGGAAATGTGAGTAAGAGAAAAAGCCCAAGAAAAGATGTAACAATGAATCAAGGTTTGATGACAGGGTAATTATTCTATGAACTGTCATGTTGAAGGACTCGCAAAACATTGACCTGCACATGATCACACATCAGAAGATTGTCTGAAGGGTAATTAAAATACTAATACAGAAGTTCAGTCAATCACAAAGAGAAAAATATAAGCTTGTTTCTCTGTAGCACGCATGGTCAAATGTATTCTCATGTGAAATATAAATGCTTGAACAGTGCAAGAATTCAGAGGACAACAGATCATGGCAAAGACCACTGAAGTTTATATGAATTAGCGCTAATACTTTTCTTTCTTCAGCTACTTTGGGCATTCAACTAAATATTATTTATACTATGACACATTAAAGCGTAAAACCTGTGAACCAACATTCTGAAGGACGTAGGGAAAAAATGTAATCTTTTCAAAACTGCGTGCAAGGCTACTACTTTGCAACTATACTGATTATAAATGCCTACAGATACCTACTCAGTGTAGACCAAAAAATACCCCATAAAGCAACCTACCTCCAGCACCAAGTTAGTCTGTGATGAAAATCACTTGGGTGCTCAGACTAAAAAATTCAGAAATCTCCTCACTTCCCCCCCCCAGCCCCCAATTATTGTTTACGTAACTGAAGATACTGGAAGCTGAAGTGGTTGTATAAATTTAACTCTTGTTATCTAAGAGTATGCATCTTAAACTAACGTTTGATTGCATTTATACAGGTGCATTTCCCTTTAAATTACCAAAAATGAATACTCTAAAATATTCTCAGTTAAATTTCAAATCAGAAAACACAAACTACAACTATGAAATATATATAATTCATTGACTATGGATACTCTTAAAAAATTTAAGACCACTGAGAACACTTGAAAAGATTTTTTGGAACACTTGTACATAAATTCATGAAGACCACGATGTCCATAGGTGGTATCTCATTTCATACATAGGCACAACCATTGCACAATTCTCAAACAGTAAATACTTTTTCTCCCACCATATTTTAAAGAGATGCTAAAAACAGCTAGGACAGATGGATGTCTGGCTGATGGTCAGGGTCAAACCACCACAACAGTATTTCTTTTTTAACATATAACGTTACAACCTTGAACATATTTTGAAAGGGTTACATTAGAAACACAATCCATATAATAATTATCATAATGGCAGTTCCTTTTAGAATGAATATGTTCTGTAAACACATTGCTAACTCATCAATTAAGTTACTCACTCATACCAAATATGCTAGTTATATTTTCAAATCTTTTCTAGCATCTTCATTAGTGCTTATTTCAAAAGACTAATGCCATACCCAAATAGCTTTTAATGCAAAGAAGGAAAACAAATGTTAAGAAAAAATCTCCCAATATTCAGCAGCTTGCTGTGGTCTAAGTAAAACTTATTAAAATGCAAATTTCAAGCACATCAGTAGTAATTTCAAAGTAACATCTTATAGTAAAAACATAATTTTCAGTTTTGTATAATAAAATAATAACGCAAATCTAGATTCTCAACATTAGCCAGCAGTATTAAGAATAACAATTCAGCAGACTCCATAGACATTTGTAAAAATTTTGAAGCAAAAATACTAGGACAGATATTTATATATTTTTACTCCAGAAACATCTTAATGGAGGAAAACTATGGGGAAGGGAGTGGGTAAGGCAGAATATCCTCTACCTCTAAGGATTCAGCTATTGCAATTGAGAATTTATCTGACAACTTCTCTTAAATATGTTTGATTTTTCCGAGATTACTAACCACATACTTTTTTCCATAAATTAAGCTTAAAATTGGGGCAGCTTCAATGAGCTGAAGCAGATGTATAAATTTATTTCTTTTGTTATCTAAGAGTATGCATCTTAAACTAAAGTTTGATTGCATTTGTATAGGTGCACTTCCCTTTAAATTAATAAACATTGTTTTTGGTCTTAATGAATACTCTAAAATATTCTCAGTTAAATTTCAAAACAGGAAACACAAACTACAACGATGTAATACATATAATTTGTTGACAACAAAGAGATACGTATCACAAGTACAGAAAGAAAACTAGCTCTTTTCTTTAGTGGTGTATAAAATTGGGCAAGCTTACTTTTGTGTGTCCTTGTGCCTGACCAAAGGCCATGAGATTCACTGGATGAAATGAATTTGTGCTGATTGCCTTAGACTCCCTTCACAGTAAATGAGAAGTAAGAAGCACTTCTAAACTGTGCTTCATTTCACTCTAATGTAGATACTTTAAACAGGTAAAGAGAGTTTACAGGTGATTAAGTCAGATTTGAATTCGTGCACTCTAGGCATCTAAACTTCTGTATATGGAAGCTTCTCCCTTTTCACTGCAGCAAAGTCTGCATAAAAAGGTGGACTTCCTAATCGAGACAGTGACAGCAGAATGTAGAGATCATACATTCTCTATGAGGGAGGAAAGGGTGCAGATCTTGCAAGGCCTGATAGAACATTATGGGTACTTCCCGCCTACTTAACACAAACTACAGAATTTCACAAAGTTTTTTCTGGCTGCTTAAAAAATATGAAAATAGAATTGAAATTATATTCTGGCTGCTACAGTGAACAGATCAGATATAAACAGGGGAACTCTCTTTTGAATACAATATACTGACAGGAACTGCAGGTGTGAAAGTTGTCATTATTAAGTACGTTGCTCAGCCATTAGCTGTTGCAGAATGGCTCCAAGAGCAAGGCCATGGATCCTTAGAGGCCTTGTGTGAGCAAAGCAAGGTGTAGGCCTCACCGGTAACCGGATACCGGATGTGGGAGGAGAATGTGAAGGAAGCTGTGTAGAACTAACCAATACTGTTCTGACTAGTAGGTGTGGCTAAACACCACGCGGATATAAGTGAAGTGCGCCACAAATAAAGTAGAAGTTTGCTTATCACCCATATTGTGCTGGCCTGTCTTGCTTCTCCTCGCCGCTTACAATTAGCTGTCACAATTTTTTCCTTTTTAAAAATCTTCCATGTTCACTAAATTTTTTCTTAAATAGACATAGATCTTATAGCTATTCAGGCTCCTACCTATCTCTTGCAGATTTGTGATACCCATACTTTTGTGCAGCTTTGCAAGATTCTGACAAGCTTGAAACATTCTATATTTAAAATCAGCCTATATCATAATGATTCCGACTTCTGTACTGGTATGTGCAACCCTACCCTTCCACATGAAAACCTCCACTGCTATAAGCTGAAGTTGGCATAGACTTAGTCCTGGCTATGCAAAACTTGAAAACCCAGTAGTGTACATTCAAACTTAAGAATCTCACATCCACAGAGGACTAAGTGTTTAAGTTTAGCCTTTAGGGATGAAGATATAAATGTGATGCTTTTTATGGCAAGGCAACTCTGTGATTTTTAGATATTAGTCAGTCGTGTGTGTTTGAATTTTTGCCAGATAGATAGCTTTGTAGATGAAAAAAAATAAGGCAAAGTGATTTGAATCCCATGAAAATATTTTATGAACTCCCTCTTAAAAGGAAACATCCCATAACAGTGCTTATATAGAGTATGTGGCAATGTTAGTAATAGGTGAAATTGTGCGTTGAAACAATAGTACGAAGAGAAGAGATGATTATATTTGAAAATCTGTTAATCAGTAGAGGGTTTCTTTTGTATTAAGAACAAGTTGAAATTCTGCTGTTGTGTATCTTAGTTACTTTATAACTAAATATTACAATGGTAGCTATAATGATAAGCAATTAACATAGCCATATATGGGGAAGGGTATATGGGTGGATCCAGGGGAGCATTGTGAAACTCTACCGAAGCAGAACTCACGAAGGTACCAGGAGTAGTCAAGTGAAAATAAGAGAACGCTGGCGTCCACATAATGATTGGGACATGTCCAAGGAACAGAAAAGTGAACAGGATGACCTAAGGAAGACTTCTTACTTCATCTGAGGAAGACTCCTTACTTCATCAGGACGACCACCAGAGGGGGGCTGCACAAGTGCAGAAGAGGCTGATGTCGTAATAGACTGATGTGGCAATCCTTGATGCACATGTATTAGTAAATGATGTAATCTGTGTTGAATATGTATTAGTGACGACATTTTTAGTGTATAAATTGCGAGCGCAATGTAACGGGGTTGAAGCCAGATTTGGGCGCGTGCCCCTGGTTTCCTAGCGCTGTAATAAAGCACCTCATATAACCATTGCGGTGGTTATGTGTCAGTTCTTACGCTAACAGCAAGATTAAAAAAAAAGTATAAAAAAAGTATGCAGTGCTAAAAACTCTCAACAGCACCTGTTATTCAACGCTACTTTAATTCATATAGTCTCACTGCCATTCAAAATAAGCAGTAAAAATAATATTTTCATTGGATCCTATCATAATCCTTTATGCATATATTAAAATCATTTGCCTCTTGCTTATAAACATACAAAATATGATGTTAAATTTGAAATATTCCATAAAAAATAAAGCTAAAGAATCAGTAAAGAAAAGCATTAAGGTTTCAACGTAGGAAAGGCAATAATACTAAAAAAAAATTTGGCATGAAACAAACACAAGCAGTTACTTAGGACTCAATCTTTTGAAAAGATGGTTTTGATAAGTCTTTTTATCATGTTTAGTAGACTGTAACACCGTATTTCATCTTTCATTCAGAAACAAATCCAAATGACCTATGCCCATCAGAGTTAAAGTAGAAATGGTTTTCCACATCAGATTATGCACACCTTTTATTCTTTCATGCATATAAGAATGACTGATAGAGATCCAGCTGAAATGTATTTCAAATTTAGGAGATACCTTTGTGTGTAACACAAAATGTGGGATGTTGCCTACAGATCCTATGCATGCACTAGCACTATATTTCACTGAAATAAATTTTTTCTAGAGTATGGTAGCCACAATACAGAATCATTGATGCCCTGATGCTCAGGGGGACCTTATTGCTCTTTACAACTACCTGAAATGGAGTGAGGAGGTGGTGGTCTCTTATCCCAAGTAACAAGTGATAGGACAAGAGGTGACTGCCTCAAATTGCACCAGGTGAGGTTTAGATTGGATATCAGGAAAAATTTCTTCACTGAGAAGGTTGTCAGGCACTGGAACAGGCTGCTAAGGGAAGTGGTGGAATCACCAATCCCTGGATATGTTCAAAAACTGTGTAGATTAGGCCCTTAGTGACTTAGTGGTAGACTTGGCCGTAACAGTTGGACTTGATCTTAAAGGTCTTTTCCAGCCTAATTGATTCTATTAATCTTTGATTATGCCTGACTCTGCAGGACAATAATGGCAAAGAGATTGCACTGTCAAGGGACTAGTCAAGGAAAAAAGGTAACCTTCAGAGCGCAACTAAAAGCCCATACTTTAGATATGTACTACCTTATTTTGATTCAAGAGAGAGCCTAGCTTAGATTAGTTTTAAACAGATAGCAAATCAGATCCCACGTAATTAAGCGGAATATACCAGACTGTGGACTTTATTTACCTGCCTTACATGTGTCTAAACGTGCTGGAGAACTGCCAGCTGTGAATGGCAACTTCTGACTGATACTCTAAAAAGAAAGGTTTTTCAAACAGAAGTAAGTCATACAGAGAAGTGGGCTCAAGTAGCTAAATGGAGTATGCGACAGACACTGTTGACACAATTGTTGTGGATGATGGCTGTCTGGCTGTAGAGAATGCACTGACATGACTGAAAGGTTGGACCAGATGATCCCCAGGGTCCCTTCCAACATGGTCTTCTATGATTCCATGACTGCCTCTGGAAAGACTGGTAAATCTTGGACTCCTCACCTGCCATTGGAAGACATTTCTGCTACTCACAAAGCAATTCTTGACTACTTTAAAAATGAAGGTCATTAGGAAAAGACTGTACTTTTTGTGTTAGTTCCCTAAGAACAGACTAGTTTCAACACTAATGCTAAATCAGTCATGAGAGGATAGCTTGCCTCCTAACCCTGGAAATTTCACCAGTTTTAGTTTCAACAGTTTGTATTTGCAGTTTTTCACTTTGTTTTAAACGGCTTAATTAAATGCTTTAATTAAAGACTTCTTTAAAAAGACAGTTTTGTAAAATATCTAACGGTAATAAAATTATTGTGAGATACAGTTAATTCTATATTTATATAAAACACTGACTATATATGAATCTGCAATAGATAAGGTGTCTTAGAATTAAACACTTATGATGGATGAGACCATTTTGGAAAATCATTTTCTGCTATTTTCAGCTGCACCTGATCGCATAGAGGGAAAGGAAGTAGAGGGAAGGGCCAGATACCCAAATTTATGATTGTATAAATCTAGAGCTTAGAACTGCACTTAAATTTTGTGCAGACTTATTTGACTTGAAGACATGAAATCCACTAAATAGGAGCACTGAACAATAAGAAGTTGAAATACAGTAGGATGCTGGGTCCAATTTAAGAAAGCACTCCATCACCTGCATTTTTTAGGTGTTTTTTCATAAAAACAGTTCAGAAAGTTTAGAAATAAGGAAATAAGATGGTGATGAAAAAAATCACTGATGTTGCATATTTTTTGACTGATGCTTCATACTGTTTCTCTTTACATCCATTAACTGTCCTTTATTATTACCAAAGCATGAGATTTTTTTTTAATTGGGTTGAAGTAATATACATCTAGACATAGCATCAGTTAAATATTTTACTAGTTACATCTTCTCACCGTATTTATTAAAATATGAATATAATATTAAAAAAATGATATTACAGGGTGGATTGAATATTCAGTAATGTGAAATTACCATTCATGGAAGTATTATTGTTTCAATGTAAATATGTGGAGGTTAGAAGCTACAATTATACATGGGCTACCAAAGAAAATAGATGAATTATGTGAAGAAAACCATTAGGTTTCTCAGACAAAATTTAAAGTCCTTTTTAGTAAGGTCTTCACATCAAATGTTTGAGTAATTGCCATAATATTTCACAAAATAACAATGAAATGCAACAGCTGGTTGAAAATAAATATTGTCATATTTCATCCTCACTCTTTGAAGATTTTTTTATCTTTGTAGATACTTTACTAACAGGTTTTACCCCCATGAACACTATGTTTGTCTTCATTTGAAAATGTGGTCTACCAATGTTTCATATTTTGTGTTTGACAATTCTGAACTCAAATATACAGTATTGTCCCTTTTACTACAGAGAAACACTGGTTTAGAGTAGGATGTATACTACTGCAAGTAACACTGTGGTAGCTGTACCACAATTCATTGGTAGCCAGTTTTCTAACAAATGGAAGTGAGTAGCAGGAGAGGAAACATCCTTATTTAAGACTATAAGGAATACAGAATAGACAGAAGCAATTAAAAAGATATGCACTAGTACACCTTTTAGAAACAGGCATTGGGAAACATCTACTGTTCAGTGCTAGTTAAAGACATTAGACAACTTCTTGTGGTAAATAATCCTCCAGAGAAATAAAAAGCAAAACACACCCTGTTAGAGAGGGTGAAGTTTTTACAATAAAATATTCATATAAAATAGTAAAATGACTGTATTTGAGAAATTTATAAATCAATAGTGAGGCTTTGTATATTAGAAGACGCTGTAATTTTGCCGTTTTGTATCATAGTTACTCTGTAACTAAATGTTACAATGGTAGTCTTGGTAGCAAGAGCTAACATAACTGTATACGGTGAGGGAAGTATGGGTGTATGTATTGTAAAACTCTACCCAAGCAGAACCTAAGTTTAAGATAGCCAAAAAGGGCATACCAGAAGCATCCTGGTGAAGATAAGAGAATGCTAACGTCCAGAAGACAATTGGGACCTGGCCAAGCAGAGAAAAGGTGAAGAGGACAACCTGAGGAAGACTTCTTACTTCATCTGAGGAAGACTCCGTACTTCATCAGGGCGACCACCAGAGGGGGCTGCCCAAGCGCAAAGGAGGCTGATGTCGTAATAGACTGATGTAGCAATCCTTGATGCATATGTATTAGTCAATGATGTAATCTGTGTTGAATATGTATTAGTTACGAAATTTTTAGTGTATAAATTGCGAACGCGATGTAACGGGAATCGGAACCAGATTTGGGTGCGTACCCCTGGTTCCCGGCGCCTCAATAAAGCACCTCATATAACCATCCCGGTGGTTATGCGTTTGTCTTGACACTAACAACCCTACTCTGGATGATACTGACACTGTATATGAAGAACCTTCAATTCTTTGAAGATCAACTTTCATCACTGGCCATAAATCAGTTTATTGAAATTATCACTGTACTACCACATGACTTACTATTTGGGAAAAAAAAAAAACAACAACAAAACAGCAATTTTTCATTCTCATGGCATTTATTGCTTTTAAGCAGCGGTAATTTTCCAAAGTAAACACAACCATGCATAACTGCTCGCTTCCTTTCCCCTGGAAACAACAGTAATGTTGTTTAAATAATTGCTCATTTAAGAGTATTTGGTTTATTTTTATATATAGCTTTCAGTTAATTTCAGTGAAAAGAAATACCAGACACTTATTAATAGTGCATTACTATAGTATGAAATTGAGGGCAGTTTAAAAACCTGTCGCTTAATGCAGTTATTGTTTCACAATGGGAGGAATAATTTCTTGTAGACTGACATGTTTCCTTATGTCACAGCTATTCTTCCTTTACAAAAGCTGTTACGTTGATGGGGAGGACAAATGCCTGCCATATATTACTATGCAGTCCATTACAATAGGTTCATTCATATTTATAATACAATCTGTGATGTTGATGCAATCACTTTAGACTTCACTGTTGTTTCAAACAAATCTGTAACTGTGAAAAAGGCAGGCTGTTGACAGGAGTTAATGTGGGTTTTACTCTGTTTACAATTGCTTTCTAATCTACTAAATGGCTGTGAAAATTGATGCACTGTTAGAAGTGCTTTTATACACTACTACAGATAAAGGGCTGTTACACTGCAGTAATCTCTGCAATGCTAAATTGAATTTTTGACAGTGCTTTTTTTTGTTTGTTTTTCCAATTTGAATGTGACAAGGTGGGCTACTCAATTTATGGTAAGCTTAATTTCATCAATGCAAAGTATTTTTCCATCTTTATTAACTGAGATGCCTATTATTGCTAGGAAAGAAAAAAAGAAGTTAAAACTTGGGACTATCACAATATGTACTCTAGGGAAAATCTCTTGGCCAAAGCATGGGCCAGAGTCACTAAATTTTATTATCACATT